ACCACTATGCTTACTTGTTTTAGCTTAGCCTTGTGAAGCTTTTATGCATGTTTTAGTGTGCTTGAGGTCTGTTTTTGGTCATTTGGGTCATCCATGCTTTGCTTTGTATAGCTACCATGCAATCTCCCTTGTAGGCCTTGAGTGTTGACCCCTCTAGCATGCTTTACTTGCTTTGTTTCAGTGGTTTGGAACCACTTATCATGTCATTTCAGTCCTTATAGCATGCTTGTATGTTTGCATTTGATGCTCCTTTATGCTTTAAGAGGTTGGTGTCTTATGCTCCATGTTTGGCCCCTTTTCTATGCTTCCATGTATAGGCCATTTAGATGTCATCTAGGTGTGTCTTTGACCTTGTTTTGGCATGATTTGGGGCTGTTTTGTTTCATTTTGGTCATTTGATTCATGTGTCACATGACCATAGTTTAAGTCCTTGGGCTTGGTTCCATGCCTTGCATGCTTGTTAGCTTAGGTTGTGCGCCTAATACATATTGCATGTTTGCATGCTTGCCTCCATGCTCACGTTGCATACTTAGCTCACATGCTTAGGTTGCATTTGGCATGCATGCCTTGCCTCTTGAATCACCATGATAGAGGTTGGGTCTCTTGTTTGTTTGTATGCATTTCATTCCATTGAAATTGCACAACTTGGCTCTTGGGCCATCACGCATCGAAATGCGCGATTGGTGGTCCGAGGGTCAAGGATCATCCTCCTTTGAGTCATGAACATGATAAAGAGGGTGGTGGTGCAAACAATTCTTTGAAAATGCATTGCCATGCCTTGTCTGCCCTCTGCTGCTGTCAAACAGGTTTCTGCAGGAAGTTTTGGCCGGCCGGCCATATATACTGCCGACCGACCAAATATATTTGGCCGAGAGCTCAAAGGATGGTCGATGACCACTTCAAAATGGCCGATGATGATCCCACTTGGTCGGTGATGCTCCCCAATATCCATAGAGCGCTCCTTGGGAGTTATGCAATCTTCAGAAGAGCAGAGCAGGGTAAACAGAGACAGTTTGTGCATGGCGATGGATTTTCGAGCAAACCCGAGCACGCGTGCATTGGACCCTCTTCTCGAGGCCTTTACTGCTTTCTTAGCTTAGTTAATTTGCTTAATTAATTAGGTGGTCTGTAATAATTAATTAGCTTGTAGGTTAATTAATCGGTATTATTCTTTTGGTCCCTCCGAGCGAGGGCGAATTTGTAATAAGTGTGGGTGCGTGTGTGCATGTCTTCCAACCCCCACTTCTTTCTCCCTTTTACTTATCTGCTTTTGATGGTTAGTATTAGGTCATATTTAATTTAGCATACCTTATGCTATGCATGCGTGCATCCATACATTTGTCTTGCATGCACCGGGCTCGGCGCATCATACTAACTGCATTGTATTTTAATTCCAAGTTGAGTACGTGTTAGTTGTAGCATCATCATATGCCATCCATAGATTAGCCGAGCCTATTGTAGCTGCATCTTGCATGTGTTGCATTAGCCATCTTAACATGAACTAGGATCATGCATATGATTACTAACTAGTTTCTGTTTTGGCTTGGAGTACTCGGTAAGCATTTATGTTTTAGCATCCTTGCATGCGTGTGAGTGTTGCCATGACAGCATGCCTACCATGAGGCTACTTGCTTATGTGATATAATTGCTTGAATGCCTATGGGTGGAGGTTGAATTACCTAAATTAGAATAATACATTAAAACTGTGAGTTTTAAGCCCACTAGATAGTGGCAAAACCATCTTTTCTAAAGCCCACTTGAGGGTGGCAAAACATGCATTTTAGCCTACTTGCGAGTAGCAAACCATTTTCAAAACAAACATGCAATGTTTTGTTCTAATTTAGGCAATTTGGTCTATACTTGTTTGCTGTGTGCATAACATAGTAATTCTAGGCTAATAACCAGAATAGAAACACATAATGCTTTCAAAACAAGATATCATGGTTAGTAGAGGCCGATCTTTGATCGGGCGAGCGGGGGTGCTCATAGATGACCTTCCCCAATCGTACCCAAGTTCCCGAGCCGAGGCAACTTTGGTGATGACGGACACGTGGCCTTTGGCACCGAGTCAGGGTTTCCTAAATTCCCCCATAACAAATATTTAGGTGGCGACTCTGTATCTGGCAAAGCAGTCCATGTTTGGCACTTCTTTCAAAATCTGTTTTTCTCAAAACAAATTGCCGGATTTGGACTCTTTGGTTTAGATTTAGAACCGTGATAGTTTGAGAGTCCGAACTGTAGTGAACCCAAAACGAACAGAACGGGGCTCATCCTCCCGGGGCGTTCGGGGACGTGTACAGGGACAGACATATCCAGCTGTGTACGTATAATATTTATAATATTTTAACACTGAAAAACCTCTCATTAATTTGTTAACATCACTTTTGTGTTTCAATTTGATAGATAATTGATGCATATGCTGAGATTCTTGAAAGAGAACCACAAGCACAGAATTCTGGTGATGGAGCAGAGCACAATGGCAAGTCTTTCATACTGTCAAGTCTATATTAGGTAAGGAATAAATGTGAATGTGTCAATTCTATACTTTATCATCCGTTCAATTTTGGTTTCAAAGTAGATTTTTTGTGTTTGTTATCATTGTTGTGAATGTTCTCAAATTTTGATTTTGGTATCATTGCTGGGAATATACTCAGATTTCAAAACAATTTGAGTGATAAATTGTAGTTAATCATGTTTTGTTGCTTTTCATCGACATTTGAATATTGAGTTCGTACCATTACTGTGAATATTCACATATTTTTTTATAAAAACAGCCAATGTTGAAGAAGAAAACTTCAGAACAAAGGAAAAAGATTTTGAAAAATACTTTGCAAGAATCCCTCCCATGTTGATACATCCATATCCCCACCCACAATTTTAATCATTGGACATTACTTGTTATCGACAAACACTTGGGGACTTGGAAACATTTCAACTCTTTGAGACCAAGAAAAGAAAAGGACAAGCACTACAACGTTGCAAATTAATTGGTAAGAACAATTTTAGATAACCATTACAATAATCAGATGTAAATCATTGCATACTTTATATTGATGTTTTTCACAACAAAAAATCATCCATGAACATATGAAGGATACACCTTGTCAAGTAGAAAAAGCATGGAATCCTGATGTCAAGATTAAATCAGTCAAAGACAACCCTCAACAAGAAGCAATGACGTATGTTATTTTATTCTAACTAACAAATGTTAATATCTTTTTCAAAAAATTTTGTTTTTTCCCTAACTATGTCAAAAATGATTTCTGTAGGAATGATTGTGGAATTATTGTTTGCTACATCATAAGACAATACAAGAGGCATCAACCAATTCCAAACACATTACCACCAAGCACATCCACAAGACTCAGAGCAGACATGGTACATGAGTTCCTCTGTGATCCACAAAGATCAATCAGAGTCAAGTAGAGTCAAGATTGCAACATTCAATGAAATCTTTTTTGATGTGTAACTCAATGAACTCTTTTTTATAACACTCTGATACAATGACTAATGTTTTTGTTAATAGTTCCAAGCATATTGCCTAACAAACATATTATAATTTCTATGATGTGTAATGGAATATTTTGTCATACTCTCAAAGATATATGCACCCGAGCTTTGTTGATGTTTTTGTCCATATTCTCAGTTTCTATTATCTTGCTCCTCACACTACCATATGGGAAAAGTGAAAATAGTATTACATGTGAAAATAGTGGGCACAAGACCTTGCTGTATCACAATCAGTGCTTTGTTGATATTTTTGTTTATATTTTTAGTTTTTATGCAGTGTTTTGTTGCCTCACAATATTATCACAATCACTTATTTTCAAACTTAGAAACTTTAAAACGGAGAATATTTTCAGTTTTATACAGATCACTCAATTTTCAAACAACAATATTATCACAATAATTTATTTGCTGCCTCACAATATTATGACAATTTGAAAAACTAAAATTCGAAACAAAGAATATTTTCACTTTCAGTCCACTGTTACTTTAATCAAAACATAGAGCATTGACCACATCTATTTAGAATATTAATTCACATTCATTCAATTGATCACAATTTATAACTAGTTCCAATTCATAACAAGAGCCTCACACTATTATCATAAAATCAACTATTTTGAACTAAAAATTCAAACTGAGAATATGTTTACTTTTTATACAGTATTCACATAATCTTCAAAACAAACGTTCAACAGTCAAGTTTATTTACGAAAGCCAACCAAACAATATTATCACAAACAATTTCAAAATTAAAATTTGAAACTAAGAATATTTTCACTTTCAATTCAATGTCACTTTATTCAAAACATAGAAGATTATTACTCAGTGCTCAACAGTACAAACTGCTACTTCAAGAAATTTATGAATACGAAATTTTTACAATCACAAAGCAGCTACAAAAAATCACAAAGCCTCCTTACACGATTTCTTATTGTGATTGCCAACCTTTCCACATCTACTACAAGTAATTTGCCTTACTTTCTCACCATTCGAACGAATCCTCTTCTTATTTGGCCTTCCTGGTTGCTTCTTATACAAAGGGGGAAGAACAACTTCACTATCACCACAACATTACAATCTGGTTTCCAAATTGAAGGAACATGATATATGGGAAAAGAATAGGACTCTCGATAACTTTGAACATAGAAGTATTAATCAACAAATAAACTCAAATCATGTCCACTTTTTTGTATAGCACCAACTGCATGTGCACATGGAAACCCTTTCAACTGCCACTCGCCACAAGAATATATTCGTCTACTAATGTCAACTGAAACAGATGGATATGAATGCACCTCATAGACATCATTTCCAGATGAACTAACAATCTATGGCCTCGAAGTATTAAAACCATCATGCAACTTGGACTCCATTTTAGGGCATATCAAATCATTCCATTTATTAACAAGTTCCCTCCTCTTAGCAATTTTCTTCATCAACTTAATTCTTACACTATCAATCAACTTTGTGATAGACAAGTGGCGCTCCTCTCATATCCACGAATTGAAAGATTCAGCTACATTTGGCCATATCTCTCCAAAACGTTGCCCTCGAAAATATGCATTACTCCAATGATCATATGGTATGTCATCTAAAAACTTTTTAACTCTTAACCCACCTTCAGTCTTTAACTCAACCAAACATTGATGAAATGTTTCTTCAGTTGGAGCATATGTACATTTCCCAAACAAAGTGATTAGTTTTTCTTTCAACCCATGAAACATACCACGCAAATGATGTCTCAAGTTCATCTTCAAATGATATAAACAATAAGCATGGAAAGCTATTGGGAAAACCTTTGGCAACACTTCAACTAATCTAAGGTTACGATCTGACACAAATGTAATATTTCGTTATGGTGAAACAATTCTACTCAAATGCTCCAAAAACCAATGCCAGTTATCTTGATTCTCTGAGCCAACAACTGCAAAACAAACAGGAAAGAACCCTGCATGTACAAAACAGAAAAAATGAAAATATTCTATCATTCTTAAAAAATGGTAACACTTTAGCATTCAAAATATCAAACACTAAAATGAATAACTGAAAAAATAAAAAATGCATATACAACAACAATATTATATAAAATTTAAAACATTCAATCATATTTCTAAACTGAGAACTTTCTCAATTTCATAACAGAGAAAAAAGATTTCTTATGTACCTTGATTTCCATCTTTTCCTGTAACAGCAAGTAAATTTCCTCTAAATCTTCCCTTCAAAAATGTGCCATCAAGGAATAAGAGAGGTCGACAATAATCAAATCCACTAATGGAACCATTAAAAGAAACATATAATCTCTTAAACTGTTTAGTATCATCGTCACACTCAAACTCAATGTAACTTCCTAGATTGCAACTCTTTGCAACATCCACATACCATCTTAACTGGTCAAATGACATTAAGTAGTCTCCAAAAATCTCACATTTTGCTTTCTCTACCTCCAACCAAGCTTGACGATAACTAACTCTCAGCCCATACCTCAACTTAAAATCCTGAACAACATGAACTGAACACGAACACCTTTAACAATCAAATCAGCAACTAAATCAGAACTCATACGAGAATGATTCATCGTACGTACTTCAGCACCACATGTGTGGACATTGTTCAACTTCCTTACATAAAAGAACCCATTAGCATTCTCCACTCTACCATGAACATTCCACATATAACCTTTTGTCTCTCTAAACAAACATTGTGCGGTAACACGAACTTTATCATTCTTAACAAATATGAACTCAAATCCGCACTCAATAGAAAACTTCGACAATGCATTACGAAATTCAATAATTCCACCTTCAAATTTATGTCCTACATGTGTAATACTAACTGCCCAATCTGCAAACAACAGTACTTTTTCCTTGTGTCAACAAAATGATGACAACATATCAACCTCGAATTCTTTTTGGAGGATGTAGATGCTCTGTTTGACAAGTTCACAGACTTACTGCTGTCATGAGACAATGCAATATCACAAACTTCAAGATCCAACATTGACTCTCTTTCTCAATAATCCAATCTTTTGTTGAGATAACCACAGTCAATGGTTGAGTCTTTTACTCTCACAACAACATCAATACACTTTGAATCAAAATGCACAACTAATGCTAACAACAAATCTAACTCCTCATTGTTGTCCAACGTACAATTAGGATGTCCAGGCAATGAGTAAGATAGACAAATATTATTAGTTTGCAAATTATCCCATTTCAAACATAGCTTCTCAACCAACTGATCATATGTAACATTTTGATCAATCTTAATTGCAAATGTGCAACCATTATACTTTCACAACAAAAAAATAGGCGCACTCGTACAACCTTCACTCATCTTTCAATCTAAACAAGAAAAAAAGATCACATCAATAAAAACTAGAACAAATACTTCATAACAATAATAAGAACTTTCTCAGTTTTCACAAATACTTCATAATAATAAACACTAGAACAAAAAACTTCATAACAATACAAATACTTCACAAATCACGTTTTCAATTCATAAAATAAATAACCAAACCGAGAAATCATCCAGCAAATCACGTCTTCAATTTGTAAAAACAAAATTATTCAACATATTCTCATAAATAAATTCAATCAAAACTAAAGAAAATTCTAAAAAAACATAATATACAAAATCGAAACAATACATACCTATAAACCAGATCGAAGATCAAATATCCAGCAAATCAATTCTTCAATTTATAAATCGAAATCGCACATAACAAACTCCAACAGATTTCAACTCAAAAAGCGAACCAAACTAAGAAATCCTTCAAGATCCTTTCCTATTCGAATCAAAATCGAGAAATCAATTACGTATAATAGCGAACCAAAGCAATAAATCCTTCAAGATCATTCATGATTCGAATCTTCAGCTACTTTCATAATTGATCTGTTAACTGATTTCTTTTTTCTTTCTAGTAAATAACGTGAATGGAATTTTATATACAGTTGTTTATGTTAAAGGGCAAACATGTCTTTTTACCTACAAATGGGACTTATTGGTTCAAAAAAATTTTGATAGGACCTAAGCTACAACCAAACATGTTGATAGGACTTTTAGGCAATTATCTCAAAAATAAATTTTTGATGACTTATAATAATTTTTTACTAAAATCCTAAATTTCCAAATGACGCTCAAGTTTGTCTAATAGAATAGGCAATCATCAATCACATATTTGAATGTCAATTAATGCTTCCTCCTCTTGATATTAACAAAATCTAAAAGTGATTCACAAAATCTCCAATCTTAGTGTTGTAATTAATATAGCATTTTGAGTAAATTATATTTGCTTCCCTATAATTAGATCCAAATATTAGTTTAGTTCTTATTATTTTAATTTGAGAAATGTAAATTATAAACTTTCAGTTCAGTTTTAGTTTGACCCTTTTGTCTAAATAATTGTCAATTTTTTTTCTTGCGCGTACTTGTCACATGACTGACACATGTTAAAATATCATGAAATTTAATATCCAATTTGAACAGAAAGATCAAATTAAAAATGGACATAAAGTTTTAAGTTAATATTGTTTAAATTAAAATAAAATTTAGATTAAGCTAATTTGCCTAAATAATTGTCAAATTTTTTTTTTCTGCACGTACTTGTCACATGACTGGCATCTGTTAAAATATCATGAAATTTAATATCCAAAGAAAGTATTTATAATTTGACAATGAATGGCTACAAAGAAAGCATCATTTTCATAGCATTCTCTAGCATTGAATCCCTAGTTCCAATTATGGCTCCCTCCACATCTAACACAATTCAAGCATTCACCTTTTAGATAGTTATATATAAAGCCTTCACAAGTAATTGCCACAAAGAAAACATCATTCTTATAACATTTCTCTAGTATTGAATACCTAGTTCCAACCATGGCTCCCCACATATCTAACACAATTCGAGCATCTGATGCAAGTTCCTCAAGCATTTCTTCGACTAGGCAACCTTATAGATCCATTCAAATGCAAGAGTCTAATTCAGGACCTCAAATCTCTTTTCGAGGCATCATTTTTGAATTCAAGTGTCCAATGCAAGTCCCTCAACCCGTTCTTCAACTAGCCACGCTTATCGATCTAGTCAAATTTGAGAATCTACTGTGACTAAAGAGCCTCAAATGTCTACATTGCCACCACCATCAGCACCTTTGCCACCTTTACCATCACGCTTTATATACTATGCTACTCCAAATAATGAAAGAATCTCTATAGCCATAGAAAAAGACATGCAAAGGGGACATGAGCGTGTCCCTTGACATACAAAGCAAACGATCATTTTGATTCATCAAAAAATCAAAGAGCGTAAAAAGGGAGGTAATGTTACCTCCATTTTCCATGACCACAACTCTCCTTGCTATAGTTGGCTTCTTGAGGGATGGGTTGTTGAAGAGAGGTATAGTCCAAACAAATGATGCCTAAAAGTAAATTTACTTTTATCCCGTTGTTGTTAGGTTTTTTCATGTGTATATATGCCGTATGCATTTTCATTTTTAATAGCTTGTGTGTTAATTAAATAGCTTTTGTGTTCTTTAAGATATCTCACTTTTGCTATTATTTTAATTTGGCTGAAGAAAATCCTCTTTGACATTTGTGAATTCTAGTCTTATAATTGCTTTTAATTAGCCCTAAACTACTAGCTCACTTCATTAGTACAGTCCAATATATTGCACTTAAATCCATTTTATTGTTAGCATTTACATTTTTGTTTGTTTGTTTGTTTGTTTGTTTGTTTGTTTTGAAAATTGTCACGCCCCAACTTTTATTAACCGAATCCATTACCAACTCCATTATAATAATTCCATTTATTTGAGAACATGAACAAGAATTAAATAACAATATTCTCTCACGACAACAATGATGATATAAATAAGACATGGTACAATGCCCCCAGGCTTACATTGAATGACAATAAATAAAACAAAAGGGATTTACCCTCATACAATACATGGCACACGGCCAACAAGTAAAGGGCCCTGTGGCTAACAATTCAAAGACTTCAAGTCATACACGATTCCTCCAGCCTTGTACCTGAAAAAGTTCATCAACACATGGGATGAACACTAAGCTTAGTAGGGATCCCAAAGATCCTAACCAATCACAACATATAGATAAAAATAATCGTGAATGCATCAAGATATACCATATAAGTAGTGTGACATTTAATATCCAAAATATACTCATATAACTGTGTTTTTCTCAAAACGTTCCTCTTGATACATTTCAGTATGAAATCAATTCTTCTCTTTTACATTCCCATCATTACTTCCAAAAATATTTTAAAACCTCATTCTTTCTTTGATAAAACTTCTCACGTTAACATAAAAGAATCTCACTTGAACCACCGTTCTGAAAATATAATCCCACATGCAAATCATAAACCCCATCCTACCTCTCAATACACCGCAAACATTTATATCCTAACATATATATCTACAACTGTCCCTGACCATAGGCCCAAGGATTTAAAAAGGTGACCGATATGAAACCGTTAACACTGATATACATTTAAACAAGATAACCGAAGCAATACATGCTACCAATCTCATCTCCACAATATGAAAACTGACAACACGTATATATATATATATATATCCACAACGAAATAATTGAAGTAATACATACGACTAATCTCATCTCCACCGACCTACAGCACGGATAATAGATCAAACAATACCAATACCAATACCAATACCGCATAACACTTTACCGGCCTCACCCGGAAGGAGGTGCTCCTCAGGTCGTACTTTACCAGGCGCAAATCGGAAGGGAACGAAGAACCTATCACAAGGTGCCACACTTTGTCGGCTAAGATACGATGGGAAACGGATCACCTTTTCACACTTTACCAAGCACAAACTGGAAGAGATGAGGAAACCTCTGTCAAGGCGCCACACTTTGTCAGCTCAACACGGCGGGTAACGGACCCCCAAACATAACAAACTAACCAACATAAATAATACATGGGTGTAATACATGCACCTAGTCCAATCAACACAGTCTCGACTATTAACAGTTAAATACATTAACCCATTTCCATCAAAACGTGCTCCACGCACTGCCGTTCAACAATGGGTTTTCTTACATTCTTAAAGTGTACCAAACACAACCTGGATTACTAAACATCAAAATCATACTATCCGACAACCGTCTCATAATACAAATACATTTGTAAGCATTGCAGTTACCTCTTTAACAACATAGTTCATAACTTAACAATGGAATTGTCTATTCACAATGTTCGTTTACCACTATCAACACATCGTGTTACATCATATAGCACATCCTACAATAGTACTCATAATCTATCTCTTACAATAAGCAATACCATCATCCACCAATGGCCAAGGACAAAACTCTAAATGTCAATCACATAATCCAAAATAATTTATACCCCTCAGGTAATTCCATGTTCCCGTTCATTGGAAACTCTCACATTTTATAAAACAATAACAAATCCCAATTTGTTTTTTTAAAAAAAGGGCTTCCCATTCGAATTCCCATCACACGCACAATGACCAAAATCTGTTATCATTAGCCTCAAAATCCCAATTTGGTAAACGACCACAACATAACCCCAAATCTGTATTTTTACATAAAGCCTTTCTTCAACATTCTACAATTTACGAATGGAATACCAAATTCCAATCCCATATCCTAAACATACTTTTCACAACCCAAAATCAAATATAAACATAACCCATAAACCCACCAATTTAAACTCAAATCAACTCATATGCTTTTTAACAAAATCAACCATAAACTATGCTTTTAAATGTAGTAAAAATACCATAAGTCTATCTATAGAGAGGTATTGAAAAGAAGCTCAAGAATCCCTACCTCTTGAAGCGAAGAGGAGAAAATCTGAAAATCCACCGGTGATGAAAACATGATCCGCTTAGATTAAATCGAAGCCTCCGCGACCCTCTACGTTTTGATCTAAAGGACTAGGGGTAGAAAATGTGTAACTAGATGAAATCCAAGCTTCTAAAAGCAAG